CAAGCACATGGGCTTGGCATGCTTTTCAAGTCACTGGGTCCAGGCCTCAATCCATGCAGTAAGCCATGTGGGATCCAGCTGCCTTAACCACCATGCCATCAGCTAACCCCTGAAATAAATTTTAATAGTTTCAAGTCATGTTTTTACTTGCTGACTAGATAATGAAACAAAGAGGAACATCTGGACTGTATGAGGGAGGGTTCTTCAAAAAGTTAATGGAAAATGCATAGTAAGCAAGAACTACATGTGGATCTTAGGATTTTTTTCTTATACCAAAAATACTTGTACTTCAATTCCATTTTTTGGTGAACTTTATGACGTCTTTTGTGTGTGGAAGTTTGTTACATTTTAGTTGGTGTTCACAAAACTGTTAAAAATAATTATTTAATTAAAAAATTATTATGATTATTATTTGATTTGCTATAGGGCATGTGCACTCACCAGAGAAAGGGAGAAAGCAAGCTTCCAGGTCTAGGAGTTGAACCATGGCTGGACACATGGGAGCCTAGTACCTTAACCACCATGTTATCTCCTGGCCCCAAAACCATGTTTTTATCCAAACTGCTGATTTTTAGTGCCTTTCCCCATTTATCTTTGAGTATATGTTTAAAACCACGTTTTAACCAAACTGCTGATTTTTAGTACCTTTCCCCATTTATCTTTGAATATATGATTACCATTCCCCTCTGTAGACAGACTTTCTAATATTGTGATTAGGGTAGAGTACCTAAGTGCTAACCTTAGTTTTCCGGATGTGTCTGATTTTTAAGATACTTGTTTCAGTACACTATTGGCCTGGCTGTTTTTAAATCTCATTGAGATAGACTTCAGGTTGTTAATATAAATCTTTTAAAGCGGTGGCTGAACTAGTAAGAACTATTGGCCTTGACAGCTGAGATCAACTGCCTGATGTCTCTTAATGACAGATTTGAATTTTGTGAGTTGGGATGCAAATCTGTTTAGAACTGGTCTGTTTAATGAATGATGTCTTTAAATGCAATCTTTAAAAAATGGGCCACCTTGTAAAAAGAAAGTCTTGGTCTCTAGAGCACATTACTTTTCTTAGTTTGAACCAGTCCAAGTTTTTAACTCTCCATAGGGCCTGGTAATTTGAGGTAGAGGAAACTAATACGAACTTCACATTTTTGTTTCAATTTAAATTCCAACATTTCTGATTCTCTGGATCCAATGTGTTTCAGAGGTTATCACAAACAGGTTACTACTGGAGGCAAAGAGTACTTGCTCCTGGTCTTGAGTGACAACTCCTGCCTGCCCTCTGCCCCTAGCCGAGAACTCAAAGCTTTGTTGAATAGCACTAAAACGTGCTGAGTCCAGGTCTTCAGCCAGATGGTCGTCAGTGTAGGGCTTTAAAGGAAGGGAAATAGTAAAAGAGTAATCTCAGAGGCACTCTCTTGTGTTAAAGCACTGAGAAAGTGAAGTCTTTCTGAAGCGAAGTGTAAATTATACCACCTTCATTTGGAGCAAAAGTTGCTAAATAGAACAGAAGGAGAAAACAGTGTAGGAAATGAAAGTTCAGGAACAAACTTTCAAGTGTGGTTTTCTAATGTTTTATCCTCTCTGTTACTCCCCTCTCAGGATACGCTGCTCTTTTTCTCATCCCCTTCTCCAAAGTTTACTTGAAAGAGAGTTTGAAAAGTAATGGCAAAGAAAAGGGACTTTATACAGCATAAATTAGAGTATAAGATGCCCTTTGTACAAAAATCATCTTAAACATGCTTTTGAAAAACATACTCTTTTTTAAGCCTTATTAAGAAAACAATTCAAGGTATATTTTTAAAAATCTTTGGGTTTAGTCTGCTTTCAGTAAAAATAAGGTATAGGTACCAAAATAAGCAAACCTCTTCTTTTCTTTCCTGGTTTCTGCTTATAAGATTTACACATATTTAAAATAAACCCATGAAAAACAGAAATAGTGTCTTGGGATTGACTAAATAGTCAGAGCAATTACCTCCAGGCTCCAAAACCCAACAGAGCTTGACTTTTGGAAATAAATTTGGCTAAGACCTCTTCCTCATTCTGTTGTATAAAGGTGTACATGAAATGATACTGACCTCTGCCAGAAACCCCAGGAATTCTATTCAGTGATGTACTTGTAATGGTCATGAAAGAATTAAAACAACACAGATGTGGATTAAAGTGAAAAAAGTAGGCAAAACACTAAATTCTCATTGTGTGGTTTCAGAATGGCAGATCCTCTAAAATACTTTGGCATACCACAATAATTAAAGGGCTTAAAACCAGAGTTAAGATACCTAAAAAACAAAAGCCCACAACTGAATAAAATAAACAAATTATGTTTTTTTAAATTGGAATTAATGTAGGTTGCCATGGTGAAAATATGTTGAAATACTTAACAGTAATGGTTTTGTGCAGCCTTAGAGATCAAAAACAGCAATGTAAATATAAGCAGACTCCTAAAAATCATACTCGCAGACGTGTTTAATGTAAATGATTGCTAGACAGGAAGTGCATTTTTTCTATGCTATGCAAAGAGATTTTAATTGACTTGATTTTGGCAGAGAGAATCATACAACTTAACATTAATAACTCAAATTTTAAAATATTTGCTCATTGCTCTGGATTACGACTGTATTTAAGAAATACTATTTTCAAACACTAATGAATCATTTTAGATAAACTTTTTTTTACACATTTATGGCATCAATGAGTATGACTGTTTATTACATTTTGCCTATAAAAGCTGACCTGTTTTATGTACTCTTTATGGAAACAGTGCACAGTCATAAATTAAAAGATGCAACTGTTTTGGATATTTTACTGGTGGTCCTGTGTTTTCCTGCCAGCAGTGCAGCTGTTTCAGGTTTCTCAGGATAACATATAAAAAGCTGTATGCACACTACAAGTTTATGCTCAAATTGCCAAGCCAGAGATGGTATGTATGACTCAACTTTCCCAGAAGCAAGCTGTACAAAAATGTGATGAATCAAAACAGTTGCACCATGGGTTGTATGAATGTCAGGAAAACCAATTCTCATTTATGATAGTTTGGTGTTTAAATTTTGCCATGAATTAACAGACTTTGGAGCTAAGCTTTTTCTTCAGACAGTTTGAGAAAAGAAAGGGTGATATAATATCATCTGATGTGTTTATTAAAAATTAGCTGGAACTTATATCAGGAATGAGCTATTTCATTTTCAAGTTACCTGTAAAAATATTACTCATTTATTATTTACAAGATAGTTATTGAGTGCCCAGTGAAGCCAGCTTGAATTTTAGACTGAAGTAACTTAACACTTACTTCATAATTCATACATCAGAATCTTAACAGTTGACATTTTATTGTGACTTGTATAGTAGTAAGCTGATAACTTTATGGCTGTGTGGAAGGTTTGGTGTATTCCTATTTAAATCCTATGAGGTCTAAGGTTCTGTCTAGAATTTGATAATGACTACTTAGTAATGATTGTTTCTGAAGTGAAATGTATCACAAGAGTATATAAGATGAGGTATGGAGGAAAATAGAACTTTACCTAAATATTTTTGTCTCATTCTTTGAATTTATTTATACACACACACACACACACACACACACACATCTATACATATATATGTTATAGATAATATATCTATATATTATATATAGATCATATAGTCCATATAGAATAGATTTACATTTATTTATAACACACTATACTAGTATGTTATATGTAATATATATTTATACCTAATAACATACAGTATATTAGCACATTATGTATGTAATTTCTAAATATGTAAACTTTGGAGATGCATGCACAGATTAGTTTTTACTGCTATAAATATAGTTTCAAAAAGTTTTGGATTGTTGCTTAATAAATTACAATTGCTGTCCTCCTTCCACTTTCCCCTTTCACCCTTGGCAGAGAAGCAAAGAACTGAGTTAACACTTTGATTTGTGGCAAGATGAATAAATTATAGCCAGGAGTTTAGCCTCTTACTTTGGCTGCCTTTTCTATTTGGTCTCTTACGTTGCCATATATTTTTTTAATCAAACAAGCTTATTAAACATGGATCCAAATGAAAAACAGTCTTATTATGTTAATAAATAATAAGTTGTTCATGCATTAAGATCTTGACACACAGGAAGTTTGAATGAATGAGTGAAGGTTCCAGGTTATTAAAATGTTCTGGTACCTGATTTATTCATTTACTATACCTGTAATTCTAAGGTGGGCAAAGCCCCTTACTTCCTGAGGCCTGAAGAAACAAGGCGGTTTCCTACACTAAGCATGAAAACAAATCTGGAAACACTTGTTTTCAAATGATGTTGGTAGTCATGCTAACAAGTTTCCCCACTTTGGTTAGAATTGTTTTACTTGTTTAGGCCTCTTGTCGATTTTTATCCAGGCAGAAAGTTTTAATTGCTAAAAGACTGTGTGGTTGGAGAAAAACTATCTGTTACACTTGTCTGTTGAGATCAATTCAATTTTTATATTTGCTGTGTGAAACATCCTTTTGAATGCAGGCTGTCTAAGCTTTCACCTTCCTTTCTGCAAGGAGACAGTGTAGTTTTGGAATTTTGAAATAAATGGAATATTCTCCTCTTCCCTATTTTGTTTTTAGGCATTTATGAGTTTGCTTTAAAATATATTTATGTAAAAATACTAGTAGCATAATAGTATTGTGGTAAGGTGTTTTTATTAAGAGTATGTCAAGACAGCATAGTTACGTACCAAAGTAATAGCCAACAAGTCAGTCCTGAAGATTGTGAAACAGTGAACATTTTCGTAGCAAGTATCACTTTGAAACCTCTTCCAGAACTGTTTTTGACCCACCTGTGATTTGCTTTGTAATTTGGTACTAGCTTAGACACTCCATGTACAGTCAGTATGTCGAAAGGTATAATCATTTATGAAAGTCTGAACATTCTAAACCCAGAATTCTATAAAATTTGAATGAATTTTATGATAGTTTTTAAAAATGCTACTATTTTTTACATAATTTCTATATCATTTCCATCTTTTTTTGTTTTGTCTTAGGTATTTAAACCACGTCAGAGCTGCCTCTCCACAGGATCTTGCTGGAGGCTACACTTCTTCTCTGGCTTGTCACAGAGCACTACAGGATGCATTCAGTGGGCTTTTCTGGCAGCCCAGTTAACCATTTTGTTTGTTTGTTTGTTTTTCCTCCCTTTATAAGATTTGGACCTTGGAGCCAAACTAGGGAGCTGGCAAAAGTAAAGCAGACCTGTAAATTACAGCTTCATGCATCTGCATAGCACAGTAATACCACTAGCAGTTGTGTTAAAGTATTTATAAAGAGGAAATTTCTGAACTAAGCCAAGTAATATGGGGGATACATATTTGTGGAGACTTATTTTTTACTTATATTTTCATGGGAGGGATTGAAGCAGTAAGCCTCATCTGATGGAAGAGAGGAATAATTTGCTATGTATGTTCGAATTGACAGACTTGTAAAATCTTTTTAAAAATAAAGCTAGACTTTATATTGAGTTTTGTGGTTTTTCTCTTATTACAATGTTTTACTTGAGCACATTTTAAAATGCCATTTTGATTACAACATTTAGTCTTAATATCCAAGTCTATTATTTCTTCTCATAAAATGTTCCCTTTTTCTTCCTAATGTCTTCTTAATATTAGTCCAGACAAGTGGATATATTTCCTTCTACCAGCAGGTTGTAGCAAGTGAAACCTGACCTGTGATAATGTCACTCCCTCATTATTAAGGACTCAAGCCCTGTTCTGAGCAGTGGAGACTGAAGAGAACCTGGATCAAGGTATTATAGTTCCCAGCTGTGAGTCATACTCAGGATAAACCAGAACACAACATTCACGACAAATTCAAAGAAGTGAGTTAATAAAATTTAATACTTAAATGGCACCTTTCACCTCCAATTTGAGCTCAGTTTATGATGAAACCTTGGGGACTGGAAAAGGTACATTTTAAGTGAAATTTCCCTGTGCATAAATTGTAGACTCTGATGTAGTTTCCTGTTGAAACTTCAAAGGCTTTTATTATACCCAGGATTATGCCTAAAGAGTTTGGTTGTGGATAGGATGGATATTTGTAGCATCTCAACTTTGTGTGAGTCACTTATATAGACCACAGTATAAGGGACATAGTTTCTCAAGGAAATTAAAGGATTTCCTATCAGATCTCCATTACAACAGATGTTAGATGTACGGGTAAAAGGTTTTGTGAAAAGTGACTTGTGGTTACATTGGGATGTAACAAGTCCTTATTTTACTAAGCAGGTATTCATTTCAAGAGTACGTCATTTATGTTTTATTTTTTTAAAGAGAATGATTTTTGCTATAGGACGTGTGCGCTTGCCAAAGAGAGAGAAAGTGAAAAATCATGCCCCATGGGGGTGGCCACGCCACAATCCCTTTCCTCCATTCTCTCAGGATTTTGGGCACACACATACATGCACCCAATGTGAGTTTCAAGCTGCCAGTTCAGGACTTGAACCTTGGCCATGTGAGAGTCCAGCCCCTTAAGCACTATGCCTTGCTGGTCCCCTATATCTTCATCTTTATAATACTTCTATCTTTGTTAAATCTGAAAACCAAAGCATTGAATAATTAAGAGGTCAAGATCATATATACAGGTTAGTAATAATGCAGTATTATTAGAACACAAGGTTTTCTTTTTGAAACATTCCAGTTTTATCTGTACTTTTATCAGGATGTTTATCCTGGTTCTTATGTCTACTAGGTATTCTCCACATTAAGATCAGTGCCTTTAACTACAGTCTAGAAATCTGTTCAAATAGTGAAAACACTGAACTTACGGTTAGACTTTGGTGTACTAATCTGTAAGAGTAATGAAAAAGAAACACTATTACTTGTTCTCAGTACTGTGTATAATATATTCTTTTTTTTTTTTTTTTGGAGAGGTTTTCGCTATAGGGCGCGTGCGCTCGCCAGACAGACAGAGACATAGAGACAAAAAGCGAGAAATCACCCCCCAGGGGGGATGGTCACGCCGCAATCCCTTCTCCTCCATTCTCCTCTCGGGATCTTGGGCACACACGCACACGCGCCCGGCGTGAGATTTAAGCCACCAGGTCCGAGACGCAAACCGCGGTCGACTACGTGGGAGTCCAGCAACATAGCCATTACGCTAACTGCTGGTTCCCTAATATATTCTAAAAGAATAGACTCATCCCAGGTTCAGTAGTGCAGTTTATAGTATACCAAACTGCAGTGCTGGAAACCACACTGCCAATAGTGGGTTCAGGTCCCCAGTCCAGTTGACTTGAAATATGCCAGGTGTATGTGCTGCAAATCCTAATGAACTGGAGGTTGGAGGAGGGGTCTGGGTATGAGGAGACCCTAATATGACTCTCTCTGTTTTGCATGTGCTATCATGAATAAAATTTTTAAAAATTAAGAGAATGGGGCCATTAGGTGGCCTACTGGTTAAGGCATTAGACTCCCACATGGCCTACCACGGTTCAAGTTTGTATCTGGAAGCTTGAAAATCACACCAGGCACAGGTGTGTGTACATGCCCAAAATCCTGAGAGAAGAATGGAGGACAAGGGATGGCAATGTGGTCATCTCCCCCTCACCCCAGGGGCGGGGGGTGATTTCTCACTTTCCCTCTCTCTCTCTCTTTCCTATTGAGCAAAACACACCCTGTGGCAAAAGCTAAAAAAAAAAAAAAAAAAAAAAGAGAAAAACCTAAAAAAAAAAAAAAAAAAAAAGTGAATGAACTAATTAATAAAACATTTTTAAAGGCTTATAAGACTTACTTTGAGCCAACCTTATTATAAAAAGTGTATATATCTGGTTTTGCAAATAAATTCCAAAATCTTTATACATTTGTAAATATTTTGCACTTACTATTACTCTACTTTATTCAGTAGGCCAGATCTAGAAATTGTTGACAGATCTTATTAGGTCAAATGGAATGGTGAAAAATAACCTAATTACAATTCACTGAATTCACTAAACAGAAATATTCTTTTTTTTTTTTTTTTTTGGAGAGATTTTCACTGTAGGGCGCGTGCGCTCGCCAGACAGACAGAGAGAGACATAGAGACAGAAAGCGAGAAATCACCCCCCAGGGGGGATGGTCACGCCGCAATCCCTTCTCCTCCATTCTCCTCTTGGGATCTTGGGCACACACGCACACGCACCCGGCGTGAGTTTTAAGCCACCGGGTCCGGGACACGAACCGCGGTCGACTATGTGGGAGTCCAGCGACATAGCCATTACGCTAACTGCTGGTTCCCCTAAACAGAAATATTCTAACTTGATGTACTTATCTCATCTTCCTAGCTATTTCCTTTTTCAGACAAAAGTATGCATTTCATCTACATGAATTACATCTTTTTAACATTTTACACTAGTACAGAAATACTTAACAACTATGAATTAATAACTAGTACAGAAATACTAGTTAACTACTCTATTACTTGTGTGCCAAACATTATGCTTCATTATTTGTGTACTAGCTAATCTTTTCAACAGTACTACTATTATTTTCCACATTTTAACAAATGGGGAAGCTCAGGGCCAGCAGATGGCATAGCGGTTATGTTATTGGATTCCCACATGGCCAACCACGGTTCAAATCTTGGACCTAGTGGCTTGAAACTCACACCAGGTACATGTGCATGTGTGCCCAAGATATGGGGAGGAGAAGGGATTGCACGTGGCCATCCCACCTGGGGAGTAATTTCTCCTTTCCCTCTTATTACCTCTGTCTCCCTTTCCAGTGAGTGCCCATGCCCTGAGGCAAAAAACCTCTTTAAAAAAAAAAAAGATGGGGAATCTGAAGTGTACAGGTTAAATAACTTGCCAGAATAACTTGTAATAAGTCAATACAACTTAAAATTAGCAGACCTGGGATTTGAATCCAACCAGTCATGTTCTAGAGTCTGTGTTCCGGAGATAGCTGTCAAACTGTCATGCTTACATACAACAGCTGTGCCCAAACCAGGTCTTTATAGTCAAACTTCATAAGACTTCAAGGAAATTTTATAGATCAAGCATCTAGATCATCTTTTATGGGCTAGTAATGACATCAACTAAATGAGTGCAGCAAAGCATAACTATAAGCTCTATGTTCTCACTAGTTTTGAACAGATTTATAGACTGTAAAGATCTTGTATCTTGAGAGAAGTTCTGATTAATTGATTGTGTAGAAATTATTTTACTAATAGCTATACTTCCAATTAAGCAGATAGTAATGGAATGGGATATGTTAACATCATGGTTAAGATGCATTATCAGTTAGTACTCCTTAATTTGATTCAATATTTCATCTGCGCTTCTCTTAGAAGCTATCTTTAGGTTGTCAACAACTGGTCAGATAATCATTTTTAAATCTAATTATTGTGACAGGAAACTTGTCAGAAAATTAACAAAACAAAAAGTTGTATGTAATGAGCTTGCTAGCCGTCATTTCCTAGTAGACTCATCAAGAGTTCATTTACTCGGGACCAGCAGTTAGCATAATGGCTATGTCGCTGGACTCCCACGTAGTTGACTGCGGTTCGAGTCCCGGACCCAGTGGCTTAAACTCACGCCAGGCGTGTGTGCGTGTGTGCCCAAGATCCTGAGAGGAGAATGGAGGAGAAGGGATTGTGGTGTGGCCATCCCCCCTGGGGGGTGATTTCTTGCTTTCTGTCTCTCTGTCTCTCTCTGTCTGTCTGGCGAGCACACGTGCCCTATAGCAAAAAAAAAAAAAAAAAAAGTTCGTTTACTCTAGCTATCCCATGTAAAAGTTTAGGGTGAGCATAGGTTTAAATTTAATAATCACATATTCACTTATCCACTCTGAGAGAAAAGGAGAGAGGTGCAAAGGTTAATAAAACATTTAAGGATTCTATTTTTCTACTTTTTTTAAAAAGAGAGATTTTTGCTATAGGGCTTGTGCACTTGCCACCAGAGAGACAGAGAGAAAGCGAGAAATCACCCCCCCGGGTGGGATGACCATGCTGCAATCCCTTCTCCTCCGTTCTCCTCTTGGGATCTTGCCATGTATGGACACACATTCCGCATGAGTTTTAAGCTGCCAGTTCTGGGACTTGAACAATGGTCAACTATGAGTCCAGTGACGTAACCATTACACCATCTGCTGGTCCCACATTCTATTTTCTTTACAATTATATATTGGCATAAGTTTTCTAATTAATACATTACTAAGTGGAGGCAAGAATATTACCACTTGATAAGTATGAATAAAACATCATTTGTCCACATACTTCATAAGAACTTAGCACATCAATATACTAAGGTACATGCTTGAGTTTCAAAACAATTTGAATGGAAATCTTTAAATAAAGACAGGCGGCTTCAGTTTATTACTTCCATATACTTAACCACTTATTACCTTCATTTATTTGCATTACCTACCATTTTGGAACGCATTTGAGTTTGTAATTAATGATCCAGATCAGGGGTCCTCACACTTTTCCATAGGGCCAGATAGTAAGTATTTTAGGTTTGTGGGATAAGCTGCAAAATCAAGGACATTATATAGGACTTATATAACAAGATAAATTGCTACAATTTTTTGATTGACAAAATCCAAAATAAAATTAAGTGCAATTTTTTGTATTGGTTTTTAATTTTTTTTTTCCACTGGAGACAGAGAAAGCGAGAAATCACCCCCCAAAGGGGATGGCCATGCTACAATCCCTTCTCCTTCATTCTCCTCTTGGGATTTTAGGCACACATGCACAGGCGCCTGGCCTGAGTTTCAAGCCTTCAGATCTGGGATTTGAACTGTTTTTGGCCATGTGAGAGTTCAGCAACCATAACCATTATACCATATGCTGGTCCCATTACTATTATTATTAACATTCTATAGAGTGCATGTGCTTGCCAGTGAGAAAAAAGAGAGAAAACAACTTCTAGGGGTCATGCCATGTTGTAGTCCCTTCTCATCCATTCTCCTCTTGGGATTTTGGGCACACATACATGCCCAGCATTTTCAAGCTACTAGGACTGAGACTCAAACCACTAAATCAGCCATGTGAGATCCAGCCACCTTAACCACCATGCCACTAGCTGGGCCTATAAGGCCTTTTTTTGGGGAAATAACTTTGTCTTTAACTGGGAATCTAAGTAAGTGTTCCCTATCATTAAAATCAACTGTAAATGACTTGCTGTATGAAATTTTTACATATTACTTTAAAAATGTCTTTTTACAGATAGATATTGCCAAATATTGTATCACTCCAAGAGTGTATTTTATTAACTGAACACATTCACTGGAAAGACATTTGTAAAATCTATATTTTTCCATTGATGCTCAGTGTCTGTGGCACAGTTGGTAGAGTACTGGACTGCATACCTATATGCCTCATGCCAACCAGGGTTCAAGTCCCTGTTCTGATTGGCGAGAAAAATAAGGAGAATGCATGTGTGCCCAGGAATCTGGTGGGCTGGAGAACTTAAGGAAGAGGATAGCACTGTAATCAGGCCCTGTGGAGGCTGTTTCTCTCTCATGTATGTTTGCACTTTTTATTAAAAAGCAAAACAAAGATGAAAGACTTTTCCCTTGATATTTGCCTTTTAGCATGTCATTACAGAGCACTATCAATCACTTCTGATTGAAGATTAATCAGGTAAGAAGCTCCTCAGTTGCACTTAAAACAGTTATGAAATGGGAAAATTTCCTTTGCACTTGTACCAAGGTGCCCAAAAATACTGAACTCAGAGAATCCATTTACTGCTAATTTGTATAAGAACATAACTCCTGTTTCTTATTTTAATTTTTGATAGCATGAGAAATGTATTAAGTAGGATATCATGATTCAAATATCAGCTGTCAAAATAACTTTGCCACAGTATGTTTCACATTAAAGTTGTTTTGCCTTGAAATCGAAGATTGAATTCTTTAAGAAATATTATGAGGTCTTCACCCTAATTTCTAAAGTCATTCTGTGTTCTAGAAATGATTAAGGGCGGTTCTTGGAAAAAATGTCAGTCTTTGCCCCCAACTTCAAAAATGACAATCCAACTTTACTACAAGTAAGTAAATCAGAACAAGTCAGGACATTCAACTTCAATTTCTGACAAAATTCAAGGAACTAATGGTGGTTAAAGTCATGAAAGCGAATGAAGTTTACCCAGTGGTAAACACTACTAGTTTAGTAGTACATGACAATTAAATATTTTCTGCAGGAAAAAAAAAACAGGAGATAAAAAATAAACATTTTCTGCAGGCTATCTATTGATGAATAATATAATGAATTACCATAGGCTTTAAACTCCTCCATTTTCACAAACTTTGTAATCTTCGTCCACTAAGCCTTTTTTTCCCCCCCTCCACACATCTTTTTTACCACCACGTTATAATACATCTTATCAGATTCCACTTTAGGTTATACAGAATTAGTGTTTTCTCAACTTCTTTGAATCCGTATTAATCCATAGTTGCTCCCCACAGAGTTTTCAGAGGCTAATTCTTTAATTACATCAAACTTGGCATGAATATCTCAAATAAACAAGAACTAAGCAGCATTGGTAACATCTGTCAACTCATTAAGAGCCCAAGAACCACTCAGAATTCTTTACCTTTTTAATCGAATACTGATGTTGTTTCCAATGTCCTAAACTCTGAACAACTGTTTTTGCCAAAAGGTCAATCATTAAGAGTTTATTTTCCCTGTACACATCTCTTTAACTAGTACATTCAAATACAAGCCACCATCTGTAAAGGGCTTTCCTTGACTGGCTAACAAATTAATCATGTGAAGACTTCCTTTAGTTCTGGTCTCATTTTAATTTTGTGAAGAAATTCTGCTTTGATATTTCCATTTGAAATTTTCTGATTTTTCTGACAGTTGCTTGCCTATGGTTGGGAATACTGTGATGAGTGCTTTGTCTGGTAATGTCAATGTTTATTGTATTCTTTTAGTACCTCTGTCATCTGTATCTATTCAGTATCAAATAATTCATGTACCTTAAAAGCACAACATTCAAAGTCTACTTTTCTTGTTTTGACATGATGGATATGCACTGGTAATAAAAAAATTAAATGTCGTGGCTTGGCACTCAATACGTTGTTGAGTTACAACCATGTCGCTGTGATTTGTAGAGTGCTAAGCAGCAGTGTGATGAGTCACATCCAGTCTGTGTTATAACCACTTAACTCTGCTATTGTATCATGAAAGCAGCCACAGACAGTATAAACAAATGAACATATGTTCCAATAAAACTTTATTTACAGACATGGAAACTCAAGTTTCGAGAAATTTTCACATGGCACAAAATGTTATTCTTCTGATTCTTTTTAACTATTTGAAAACATAAGCATATGAAATAGATTTTGGGCCTACAATATGTAGTTTTGTCTATCCCTACGTTAATAACATTTCTTATTACATTTATAGCAGGAACTCATTGCTAGTAGTGGTTATGTAAAATTTAGCTATACCCTTCAACTAAAGGATAACTACAAAACTGTAATATTAATGCTTTCCTACTTAGCATCCAATTATCCTATCTTCAGAAACTATTTTCCCAGAAGACAGACAATACCTAAGCATAGTTAATAAAAATTTAATTATAAAATTATATTTCCATAATTTTGATAGTAATAACAAATATTCCATTTCAGTTAAATTTTAACTTAATCCTCAATTTATAAAACAATGAGGCAAAGTATAAGGCTTAAACACTAAAGTAACTTAAAATTTCATACAGCCATACAAATTATATTTCACTACTTAAAAGTCTGGTGGGTAGATGGAGAAAACATTTCCAATTAAGTGTTTGAATCTGTGTTTTTTTGTTCTGAAAAGGCTTCATCTGTTCTCTGTCGTTTCAGAGGCGGATCTTCATGATTCTCTGTAACAAATGCAGAAAGCCTATTTTAGGTAAGATATTTAACAGCTGAAAGTACTTTGAAAAAATAAATGTAGGCTTTTTTTTTTTTTTTTTTTTTTTTTGTCAGAGGGTGCGTGTACTTGCTGGGGCAGAGGGGGCTGTAGACAATGAGAGGGAAAGTGAGACATCACCCCCTAGGGGGATGGCCATGGTGCAATCATCTCTTTTTCATTCTCCTCCTGGGATTTTAGGTATGCACACACACGCACCTAGTGTGATTTTCAAGTCACCAGGTCCAGGACTTGAACTTGCGATTAGCTGTGTGGGAGTCTAGCACCTTAACCACTATGTCACCTGCTGGCCCCAAATATAGGCATTTTTAAGATTTGTAATGTAGTCAACTTAGACATGAAATAATATTTTTGTGGTTTTACCATTTTAATGAACTTCTATTACACTGAGTAATGGATCATACTAAAATTTGGAAAAAATGAGAGAAACTAAATGAAAATAACTAACTAGAATTAGTTTAATTACTTGTTTCCACATTTAAAAAATATATTTCAAGAGCCCAAAGAAAGCTACATTAAGAGTATTATAGTCGGGACCAGCAGTTGGTGTAATGGCTATGTCACTGGACTCCCATGTAGTTGACCATGGTTCGAGTCCCGGACCTGGTGGTTTAAACTCATGCTGGGCATGTGTGCATGTGTGCCCAAGATCCCAAGAGGAGAATGGAGGAGAAGGGATTGTGGTGTGGTCATCCCGCTGCGGGGGGGTGGTGGTCATTTCTCGCTTTCTGTCTTTCTGGCAAGCGCACACGGCCTGTAGCAAAAACCTCTCTCTCTCAAAAAAAAAAAAGTATTATAGTTTACATATAATTTCCCAGAAATTGCTCACCTAGATTCATGATCTGGTTCTTGTAGAGTACAGAGGAAGGGATTTGAAAGGTGATACATAGCATTTCCTTGTTAGGAGCCACATTTCTTACAAGGTGAACCGAACTGCATGCCTCCAAGGAAACACCCAACACAGCTTCAGCTCGTTGTCAAACATCCTCAGCAGGATTAGGATCTTTGGAAAAGCTGTAACAGTGCACTATTGGAAGGAGCTCACTGCTGCATGGCTGTCCATCTAAAAGTGATTTGAAAGCACCAAGAAACTCTATAGCCTTTGCTGGCAAGTTCATGACAATGTGCACAGACTGTTTTCTTTCTTTTGACAGTCCCAGCTGCTGCATTAACTCTTCTCTCACTGGTCCTTGGAGGAAGTCTTTCCCATCCAAGTTGAAGACTTTCACCTTTTGGTCCACTTTATTTAATTTACAGTTGTGCAGCAGCCATTTATGGGATTCAGGATTGAGATCATTGGCAAATACAGCACAGCTTTCTTTGCTACTGGTATGGCAAAGGGCCCGACCCCAGCAAAAACATCAAATAGGATATCTCCAGGTATGAGAAGTTCTGTGATACGGTTATGTTCTGTAGAGAGATGAGGATTCCAATAGACTTTTGAAAAATCAAATTCATAGGAATAGTTGTTTTCTCGAACCTGAAAAAGGTATTATGCTTATGGTTATTCTGCTTAGTCCTAAATTCCAGCCACTGATATTGGATAGGTGTGTGTGTACACACTTGTAAGCACACACACATTTAAATTTACTACAAAAGTAAATTTTACAGCACATTTAAAGGCACTGTAATTAGAATCCTGGTGTTTATGGTATTCTTGGGACCAATTAATGTCTTGCATTAGACTTTTTCATCAGAAGTCATCTCTTCAAAGCCAAATGGTTCTCTATCTCAATCCTAAAGAGTCAGAAAATAGTTGTGAAATCACATAAGGAAATTTTCAGAAAGGTCAACTGACTTAATTTTTCTCTTATGCTACCAGCTAGGGAGGATAAAACTTTGATTCAAAACAACATACCACACGTGGTGGGTAGATAAGTTGCATATAACATTTGCACCTAGCAAACAAGTTTTCCTCTTTATTTAGTTTGCAGAGTTTGTAAAAGGGAGACATGAAAGATGTGCCATTGACATTTGGAAGTATTTTACTATATTTTTAGATAGTTACTTGGACTTTCCAAGTTACTTTGACTTTCCAAATTTCATGTCTATAAATTACAGCCAGTATACAGAATGAATCATTCTCATATACTCTTCCCTTTACCAAAATCTGCATTTTCATAGGTAAACTAAATACACAGTGAACTAAGTCTTGAACAAAATTAAGACTTTCCACCACTCGTTTTGGGTCTATCATCCATGTTATAAAATACAAAATAAAATTCAAATTACAGTCATGGAAAATGACTTCAGCAATCATATTAAGTTCTTTATTTTATGGATAAAAGAGCAAGAATCAAAGGCCAGAAAATTCCAAAGTTCTATAATTTCTGATTGAGTTTAATCTTCCATCTTCTGCTTTTCTGGACTTTAATCCAAAATTTGTACATATTTTCCTCTCACAACCACATCAGATACTTCTGGCCATATTAAGGTTCCAAAGTTGAAAATGTTTCTCTACATTTCTGCCAGCTAAAAGTCTGTCAAGGTATAACTTAGATTTAAATATGTCTTGAGCTATTTCTGTGCTACAACTTGCTTTTGTCACTTAACCTTTTCCATGTTCTTACTATATCTTCTCAAATGTACCAATATCAATGGTAATTAGATACCTAACTTTGAATGTGATAAACTCTTATCACTGCTCTTATCCTATTCTTTTAATGAATATGGAGCTCAAAAAATCCTTTAAAGATAGGGTACCTTCTTGTATCATTATACCAGAATTTAACCAATTCTTCTGAAAAGCTTTATCTTTCACAATTATCCCTTAAATGGCATACCTGACATTAATTTCTCACTCACTTATACTAGGTATTATAAATATTTTAATTTTTGTCATTAAACATTACTCTTGATAAACACCTTACTAGGAGATAATAAAATACTGTATACCTTTGTAATCATGTTTTCCTCTCCAGATAGCACTTCCATTTGGAAATTTCGATATGTATTATCAATATTATTGATTTTATTTACTGCTGAGGTGATTCCAGGATTTTTGTCAATCATAACTTGGCCTAAAAGGAAAGGTAAAAAAAAATCAAATACCGCCTATTAGTTGCAAATAAAAGCTAAAACTGCAAATACAAAACAGAAGTGAACTGTGTTTTCTTTTGGTTTGTAGACTAAAAATTCCACCTACGGTGGGTAATGTGGCATGGAATTCTAAAAATTCAACAAATTACTAATGTTAATATCTAGCAGTCTCCAATACACAGGTACAGGGACCAGCAGATGATGTAATGGTTACATTCCTGGACTCCCACGTAGTTGGCTGCAGTTCGAGTCCCGGACCTGGTGGCTTGAAACTCATGCTGCATGTGTGTGAGTGCCCAAGATCCCAAGAGGAGAATGGAGAAGGGAATGTGGCATGGCCACCACCCCCTACAGGGTGATTTCTCACTTTCTCTTTCTCTGTCTCTCTGGTAAGTACATGCACCCTACAGCAAAAATCTCTTCCTCAAACAAGAAAAAAAAAATACACATACACACACACACACAGGTACATGAAAAAAATTTATGGAGGAGTTTGGGATTACTTTATTTTTCTATGTTCTTACTTTATCTTCTCAAATGTACCAATACAACAGGTAAGCAAAAAGACCAAAGGAAATAGAGAATGGAAATAGAGATGAGAGGTAAAGACAGTCTTGGAAAATACCAGCCAAAACATCTGGCCTGAAACCCAATGTTTGTTTTACTGTGGGTTTGAAATAAATTCCTCTACTTTGGAAATATTTGCCAGCAAAATAATGTTTCTGAATTTTAAAAATTCTTTAAGAAACCTGATTCTTTAGAGTCTTATCTAAAAATGTTCATTTACTTAAGTTGTTCTTTTTGTCAAATATTTATCAGCACAGAAGTTATGAAAGAACTACATTAGAAATGGTATATTGATGCCTTACTGGTCTACTTTTTGGTTGGCACTTTAAGAATTTATAAAAATCAGGTCAGACCATGGTGCAGTGGTCTGAATCCCCATGAGAAGGCCTGAATCCCCATGTAAAGGTGGCCTGAGGCCTCCCTTTACACCCTGGCACAAGAACCCAGGATCCAGGCCGGCTGACAGTGCAGGTGAATTATGTGAGGATCCTGTTGGGGATGCCTATTTATATTGCAGAAAAAAAAAAATCTACACCATCAGGGTCAGCAGGTGGTGTGGAGGTTAAGGCATGTTGCAGTTGTATCTTGCATGGTCAACTTCATGGTTCGAGTCCCTGGTGTCTTAAAAGTCATGCACATATGCGCATGTCCGTGTGTGTCCAAAATCCCAAGAGAAGGGTCTGCAAGGTGGTCAATGGGGGGGCGGGGGGTGTTATGTCTCATTTTCTCTCTCTCCCTGCGAGCGCATGTCCCTATAGCAAAAACTGGAAAACAAACACTATTATCTCATTGTATAAGGAAAGATAACTTGATATAAGATGGTTAAAAAAAAAAGTACTCAAAAATACATATATGCTGAATACAACCAGAATTTCTCTAATAATTAGATACCTGATTTGAATATGATAACATCAATAAACTCTAATCAGTCATTGGTTTTATCCTATTCTGTTTCAGGTATCTGAATTCAACTTTTAAGGTATAGAGGTTAGTTTGTAATGAGAAATAACGTTTAAAAGAAGCTATTCTAAAGGTCTGCAGTAAAAGTTTTAAAATTACTACTGTATAAAAATATTTTACTTTTAATCCAGGAGTACCCCTTTATGAAAGGGACAGTACAAGAGTAATGCTATGGAATGGTTTGAGCTAGGGTAGGCAATGACTACAGAAACCCTAGACTTGACGTCTGCACAGTCACAATTCTTTTTAAGTATTTCTTTTTGTTACCACTATGCACATTTCAAGTCCCTTTCACTGCAAAAACAGCAATGCCTAACAGCCCAGTTTTGAAATCCTACTCATATAAAATATCAAGCACTACATTAAAAATAAAATGTTATAAGGCTCACACGTTCCCTGGAAAGAGAAAGTGAGAAAGCAACCCCACACACACCCAGGGGAATGAACCATGCTACAGTCCCTTCTCTAATCTCTTGGGATTTTGGCACACACAAGCATCTGACATGTTTTTCAAGCTGCTAAGCCCAGGAATTGGGGGATCCAGCTACCTTAACCACTATGTCATCTCCATGGCTCACAAGCACTATATCCGCTGAAAATAATTCCTTTAAGTTCTGACAATTACTCTATATTAAGAAAAAAATTAAGCTGAAGAATGTAGGCATAAGATATTTCTATAGGGACGAGTGGATTTTGATTAGTCTTTTTTTTTTTTTTTTTTTTATCCTAAAGAATAAAGACCCTAGGGTTTTTGTTTTTTAACCACCATAGAGTATGCACAATTGCCAGAGGTTGCAGAAGGGTTGGGGGAGCATCACTCCCAATAAGACATAATCACACTACAGTCCCTTCTCCATTTCTCCATCCTGTTGGGATTTTGGACGCATGCACCCACCTGGTGTGTTTTTCAAGATTCTAGGGCCAGGATTCCAACTGCAGTTGGTCACGGGGGATCTAGCTCCCTTACGCACTAGATTACAGGACTGGCCCAAGGCCCCAGGATAAAAGCTGGGGCTACAGAGGTTAAGACATTCGTAGCATCATTTCTAAAAGACTAGGAGTACTATAAAACATATAAGTGTGGTGCTTGACATACAGCAGAGGCTCAATTAATTGAATCAATGAAAACATAAGTGCACTAGTAAACAGTGTCTTGCCCTTTTGACTATAAACACCCTATTTTTGCCAGAGGGCGCACAAGTTTGCTAGAGACAGAAAGAGAAGGGAAGGAGAAAGCACCCTTCAGTGTGGGTGTGGTCGTTCACATAACCCCTTCTCTTCTTCATTTCTCCACTCTGTTGGTGATTTTAGGGCATGCATCCACATGTGCCCAGCATGTTTTCCAAGCCACTGGAGCCAGGATTCAAACTTTTGTTAAGACTGACCATGTGAGATCTGGCCATGGGGCTGGCCTTCCAATTTTTATTTTATTTATAGTAAAACACATGTATGCACATGTGAGAGAGACAGGGACAGAGATGCACCTTCCACCGGGTCTGGTCACACTGTGATTCCCTTCTCCAATCCTTCAGCTCATCAGATCTTGGGCACTTGTGCCCATGCCCTGTATGTTTCAGCATGATGGGATGGGGTATTCAAACTTTAATTGCCATATGGATGGCCTTGGTTTGAGTCCCAGACTCAGAGGCTTGAAAGTCATGCTTGGAGCCTGTGCATATGTGTCCGAAATCCCAAAAGGAGAATGGAGAAAAGACTGGGGCGTGGTCGTCATCTCTGCGGAGTGATTTCTCACTTTGTCTCTCTGGTATGTGTACTCAGTTTAAAGCATCTCTAAAAGAAAAAAGAAAATTAAATATGCAAATCACTTTCAAGTACATGAATATTATTATGACACACCTACCAATTAGATGTTTGAAAGGTAGCTGATGATCTCGAAGGTTCAGGTGTGCTATATGTCCAACTCTGCTAAATCCTGAGGTCACATCTTGACCTTCAGGTAGCACAGCTCTCAGGATTTCTTCTGATTTAAAGTTTTCATAAGTTAGTTCCAAATTATATTTAAATATCTGCGGATTGACATTAAGCTGCTTTAATATACTGAGTTCTGCTTTCTCAAAGGAATCAGGAGTAAGTATTTTATAAGGATCCAACATAATTAGCCTACTTTCTTCGTCTTCTGGATCTTCAATCACACGTTTTATACCTGGGCGTTGTAGTGCTGCCCTTTTAAGGGATCGCATCAATTTATTGACTATTTCTTTTCTTACTTTAAGAACTGGAATAGTAATGGTCTTTTTAAAAGCTGTTCTGTCAAGTTTTGTCATTCCTCGAACATCAGAGGGTGGTGAAAACAATTCACAGTCTCTTTCATTTGCTTTTATTTCTGGCATGGTTGATAATCTTCTTTGACCCAACAAGAAAATACGAAGCACTTTCCTAAGTTTCTGGGCCAGGGATGTCCCAGCCAGTGGAATCAGTGTTTCTGATTCAGTTATAGTCCACTTTTCCACTTCCAGAAGTCCTCTTGAAAATCCAAATGGCCTCCATAAGATCCTAAAAAAGGGATTTATGCAAAAAAAAAAAAATACTGTAAAGGTACCAACTTACTTAAACACATTCACAATGGCTTTTGAGCATAAAATATAAATGACTTCAAATAATCTGCTAAATGCTGATTAGTAAAACTTTTAGTGATATTTGGGAATACTATCTTTTCCGGGATATGATGAATTTTATTAATGGCAAATAATAAATTCGCACCTTCAACCCACCTAGGACCAAAGGCTTGGTAATCCATTGTCAGGTTTCCTATATTCAATTAAATCCACCCAGAATTCGGATTGGAAGGCTGAGATTTGGGTTCAAGGGTCATGTCTAAATGAAATGATCATTCTATAGGATACGAACAATGGTACTATTAATTAGGATGCTCTTGTGCCAGATGCCATGCTAAATGCTTTATACACATTATCAATCTTGGGAGCTGTGTGTAGTAAAGTATCACATCTCCATTTTCTAAATGACTAAAGCCCAAAAGTAGGTTAATTCACCCAAAGCCTCCTTCCTGGTAAGTGGCCAAAGATTAATGCTTATGTTCCTAATTGCTACGTTTGTCTGCGATGATTTACTGTCCCATGTCTTGCCTATAACTACAGGCTTCAATATTTGGAAAGGGAGGGCTTTGCTGAGTGATCTATGCACAGTATCAATTTTTCACTTTGTGTTCCAAAGCACTAAAGAAGTAACTGCGAGGAAAGCGCCCTACCCTAGAATCCTGAAAAGCAGCTAGGTCAAACTTCACAGTCGGACTTCAAATTGAGTCTAAAAGTTAACTGGCTCGGTGACCCTAGAGAAATGACTTAATCTGAATTTCGGTTTCCCATCAGCAAAATGTGACAAAAGGTACAAAAGTTCTATCAAAAGGCAAAAACAGACACCTCGCCATGCTCTACTCGGACCCAAGCTCAGCACCGGCGGGAGGCGGAGAGCAGCCTGGGCACGCCGGCACCGCCCCTGGCCCATCCACCCCTCTGAACCATCAAGGGCGCCGCGGCCGCCACCTCACGGGTGGTTCCATCTCACTCCAGGGGTTGCTACGCTGTGGACTCCTTGACCAGAACTCACCTCATGCCCTCGTGCCGCTCGGAATCGCGAAGGGGGTAGACTGGCTGGCCCCGATGACATCATCACTGTGCGCCGCGGACTACGTCTACTCCCACCTTTCCTGGCCGCCCTGCTGCGGTACAGGAACCCGGAAGGGCCCGGTTCATAGCTCCGCCTCTGACCCGACCAACGACGGGAGCGCAGGGCAGGCGTGGTGGCTCGCGGATGGACCTGGTAGTCAGCAAAAGGACAGCATGGAAGCGACCTGGGGCAGCGTCAACGCTGAACGGCGCTGGTACGTCTCGGCCCAGCAGCCCGAAGAGACAGAAGCGGAAGAGTCGAGCCCGTTGCTAAGCAACGTAAGTGGGCTCCACTGGCTTTCCGCTCATGTCCACCAGAAAGACTGGGAGAAGCGGGCCACCCTGAGAAAGAGAGAAGCTGGAGCCTGACCCTCGGGGATGGGTCCCAGAGGCACAGCGCGGACTCAAATGAAAGCGGCGCGGTTTGAATGTCACCGCGCCTGACGTGCTCTAGGAAGCAAGCTAGGGAAATGTGCAGGCTCAGGTGGGGTGAGGATGCCACTGTGAGCGGAGGCTGGGGACGACGGGATGAGCAGCCCTAAATTTATGTGACCCACTGTATATTTTCGCCATGTTAATTCCCCTACCAGTCTTGCGAGCTCTTTGCAAGAGTCACAAGACATTTTCTTTCTCCACTTAGTCACAGGGAGGCTATAAACATCTTGATATAGAGATCCTTAGTGGCGAAGAAGTAGAGGTGGCCTGATAAATAAGTGCATAGCACGTGTCTAGCCCTAAAACCTGGGAGATTGGCACTGCATTTTTACTGGAATCCTTGGATTGTAACAGTTTCTAGGATTTTACTCCCAAATGCTGTTTGGGGTGGGAAGACTGTTTTCAGGGATGTCCTCATGGGAGTGGTGAACTGCTTCTGTTTATTATATTGTCACTGTTAAGATATTCCTGATCATCCTTACCGTTCAGAGGAATTAATTCATCAAGTATGTAACTAGAGATTAGTTTTTCAGCCCTAGTAATTGGGAAGCACGAGTTGTCCACTGCAGTCCTGAGCTGACTCAGGGATTCTTCAGGAATCACATGAGCCCAGGCCATATGCTTCCTCTTTGTCTCCAACCCCATTCCTGACCTGTCTTCATCTCTTGCCCTCACAAGCTTAGCCGTAGCTCTTCCCAAAGCCTACCTGGCTGTGTAGTGGTGGAGGTGATTTTCCCAGGCACTCTAGGTTTCTAGAGCTGCACTGATAGGAGGTGGGAAGAAAAGGAAAAGAAACCAGTCAGTGTTGATTAAGCAACTTGTGTGTCACACAAAGCCTTGTGGTTTGCAGAAGACTTTCTCCAAACCTTTCAGTGATTTCTTGATATAATTCGAACATCATTATCCAAACGTTTAATACTGTTAAATTTGTGTGCTTACAGGAACTTAACAGACAGGGATCCCCAGGTGTTTCATTTGGTTTCTCAGTATTTAATCTGATGAATGCCATCATGGGAAGTGGCATCCTTGGCTTAGCTTACGTTATGGCTAACACCGGTATCCTTGGATTTAGGTGAGTTTTTAAAATATTTTATATTATTAATTCCATTCTGATAGTACACTGAGAAGCAAAGGGATAGGTTTCAGGAGCTGATGTTAATACAGTTTCTAGTTACATTACTTTTGGTGTTTTAGCAATTTTTCTTTTCATCATTATTTTGGCTTTAGGCCATTATTTTGGCTTGGAAGGATGCTAAATAGTTTTTTTTCTTTTTTAATCCAAAAGTATGGCTAAACTTTAAAACGGGGACTTGAGCCACACTTGTTTTTAACCTTAAAAAGTGGCTTATTTGGGGGCCAGCAGATCGCATAGCGTTTATGCCATTGGATTCCCACATGGCCGACAGTGATTTGAATCTCAGACCCAGTGGCTTGAAACTCACACAGGGTAGTTGACGTAATGGCTACGTCGCTGGACTCCTGTGTAGTCTACTGTGGTTCAAGTCCCGGACCTGGTGGCTTAAACTCACTCCGGGCGCATGTGCATGCATGCTCGCTTTCTGCCTTTCTGGTGAGCGCACACCCCTACCTGAGATCCTGGGAGGAGAATGGAAGAGAAGGGATTGCAGGTGTGACCATCCTTCTGGGGGGCTAATTTCTCACTTTTCCTCTCACTGTCACTATGTCTGGCAAGCATACACACCCCTAGGCAAAAAAAACCCTAAAAAAAAAAAATGGCATTGTGTCACATTGGCCAAAGTATATCAGCCATGCAAATGGACTATAAATAGTAATTTCCTGAGTATAAATAAAACACGTAATCTTTTCATTCCTTGTCTCCTTCTCCCTTCCTATTATTAAGATTATTCCTAAACCAAAACTCTGAAATACAAAATACTTCAAAATCCAAAAGGTTTTGAGTGCTGTTGTGATACCACAAATGAGAATTTCCCACTTGACCTCATGTGACAGGTCTCGGTCAAAACGCTGCAACTAAAAATGCATAAAGCTACCTTCAGACTGTGTGTATTAAGTATATATGAGACACTAAGTGAATGTGTTCAAAATCGTATCCTATTTCCAAGATAATCTCATTTTTATATATATAAATATTTTAAAATACAAAACAAAAATAATTAACAATCCGTTCATTAAAATCTGAAACTCCTCTGATCCCAAATATTTTGGATAAAGAACACTTACTTTACAGTACTTTCTGAGGCCATGTGTGTGTTCCATGCCTATTCTTTTTTAACTTTCTACGCTTGGTTTGTAGGACAGCTTGACCAGAGGAGAAGACACTCTAGCTTTTCTGTGCTTCCATAATACTTTACATACTCATTTTGATACTATAATGTGCTATAATTGTTGCAGAAAACAGACTACTGAGTAATGGAGCGCCACGAAGAAAGAACTCAGGTTTATATCACCAGTGGTCCCAGCAGAGCTCATACTGGGGCCGGCTTGTAGAAGTTACAGGGGTTATATAGTTTGCCTCACTGATGTTGCAGACCAGGGAAAACTTAAGAATCTCAAAACAGTGCAGTCCAGCTTGTAACATTTCCCTGCAGGCAATTTGCAAAGGTGGAATAGAAATACTTCCTGTTTGCAAGCAGTTAGCAAACAGAATCTATATCGTAATGATTCGTTTGCAGTCTGTTCTCCGCATTAAACTATGAAATCCTTAAGAATTGGGCTTTATCCTTAGCATCTTCTAGCACTATGCCTACTAGAATGAATGAACACTTTTTGTTTGTCAGTAGAAGCAGACCTATTTTACCAGGAAATTTAAAATACATAGGAAGTCTCATTTGGGTTTACTTTCTGCTTTTATTCCAAATATTTTGATGAAGAAATCAACTTTTAAGTAACCCAGCTTGCTTTTTATTATGGGATGTATCATTTCATCATTTTAAAACATTAGAACCATATGTGACACCTTAGGCAGGACATAATTAGAGGAATTATGTTTTATCACCAGAGTCTTTCATATAGATCATGGTCCCCAGCCTTTTTGGCACCAAGGACTGGTTTGGTGGAAGACAGTTTTTCTGCTTGAGGTGAGGAGGATGGGGGGGAGGTATCAGGATGATTTGAGTATATTACATTTATTGTGTACTTCATTTCTATTATTATTACATTGTAATATATTGACATAATTATGCAGCTAGCCATAGTGCAAACTGAGTGGGAACTCTGAGCTTGTTTTCCTGCAAGGAGATGGTCTCATCTTGGGGCTCCTATGAGAATCTAATGCTAATGCTGACCTGACAGAAGGTGGAGCTCAGGTGATAATGTGAGCAATGGAGATTGACTGCAAATACAGAGGAAGCTTTGCTCACTTTGTCCTTTGACTGCTGCTCACCTCCTGCTGTGTAGTCCCATTCCTAAACTGCAGTACCATGGCCCAGGGGTTAAAAACTCCTGATGTAGAAGTATACTAGTGAACGAGGTCTCATTTAATTGTATCAAATGGTTTTTTTTTTTTGATGATGATGTTAAACTATTACTTTGTGAGGTCTCTGATGTCAGTTTAATGATATATATCCTTACACTTCTCAATTTTGCTATTTATTAGCAAGTATTAAGTGGACAACAAAACTAGGAGTTCTTTAGCTAATTGGAGAATCCACTGGGGACAGCTTTACAGTTAGAATTTGTCCAGTCAGTATTTTATTTTTGGAGAGGTTTTTCCTATAGGGCACGTGTGCTCATCAGAAATACAGAGAGAGACAGACAGAAAGAAAGAAATTACCTCCCAGGGGATATGGCCATGCCGCAATCCCTTCTCCTTCATTCTCCTCCATTTTCCTCTTGGGATCTTGGGCACACACGCACACAATGCTCAGCATGAGTTTTAAGTCACTGGGTCTGGGACTCGAGCCGGAATCAACTACATGGGAGTCCAGAGACATAGCCCTTGTGCCAACTGCTGGTTCCATCAGTATTTTCTTGAGACTAAGTTATGCATGCTGTTTCTTTTCACATTGCTAGTGAGAGGACCCCAATCATTGTTTATACATATTTTAAATCATGTTATTGAACTATGTTAACTGCATGGTTTGGTGTGGTTTAATTTGGAGAACAAGTAGTGTTTAACAGATACTAGAAAATACATTCTTTATGTTATTAGTGAAGGTATGGCAAGGAGAGCCACACCACTGAGGTGGGAAGGAGGAAGGGAAGGAAAAAGAAGATAAAATCTTCTAACTAAAACTTCTGTTTAGACTAAGAATAGGAAAAAATAGACACAGAAGGGAAATATGAGATAATGGAATGGCTGAGCCAGCAGTCAGCAGACAAGAATGCAAAATGAGGAAGTCTGTATTTTAAATCAAGTTTGGGGCCAACCAGTAGTGGTAAGGTGGCTAGATCCCACATGGCTGACTGCATGGTATAAATTCTAGACCCGGGAACTTGCAAAACATGCTAGACATGTGATGCGTGCATGCCCAAAAGCTCAAGAAGAGAGTGGAGGAGGAGGGATTACAGCATGACTTTCTCCCATGAAGGGTGCTTTCTCACTTACCCTCTCTCCTCTCCCACATATACTTTCTAGCAAATTAAAAATAAAGTTTGTTTCTGGTTTCCATTTTTTTTTTAAATTTAAAAAACAGTACATTTTCATTTAAATAAAGTTTGGCAATTACATGAACTATCTTCTTAAGTTCTTCAGTGACCATAATTCAGCTACTCAGAGATAGTCCCTGTGAACAATTTGAATCTGAAGAAATTTGTTTTTGTAATGAGAGATGATAAAACAGAGAAACTGGGAACCAGCAGTTAGCATAATGGCGAAGTCACTGGACTCCCACGAAGTCAGTCGACCACAGTTTGCGTCCTGGACCCGGTGGCTTAAACTCACGCTGGGCGCATGTGCGTGTGTGCCCAAGATCCCGAGAGGAGAATGGAGGAGAAGGGATTGCAGCGTGACCATCCTCCCTGGGGGGTGATTTTTCGCTTTCTGTCTCTATGTTTCTCTCTGTCTGTCTGGCGAGCGCACGCACCCTATAGCAAAAACATCTCCAAAAATAAATAAATAAATAAAATAAAAAATAAAACAGAGAAACTTTTAGGGGGACCTGACCATGTGTGTTTTTTTATATTCTAGCTTCTTGCTGCTGTTAGTTGCTTTCCTGGCCTCTTACTCAGTCCATCTCCTGCTTAGTATGTGTATTCAGACAGGTGAGTAAAAGTACTTTTAAACAGTAAAAGTGCTATTTCATTTGATGAAGCAGTCCTTCAAGTTTAGTTTGTATTGACATATAGGATTGATTATCTCAAATCTAATTTCCAGCAGGTATACATTATTATTAGGTAGAGCAAAAAGGGAAATTTCAAAAGACTACAGGATATATAGACACAATCCTATGAGGAAATAGCCAAGGACCGGAGGGCAGGAGAGAGCTAACATTACAGCCTCGCTTCACAATCCACAGTGTAGTCTTAATGGATTAGAATTGGTTAAGGGAGGCACCTCAAAGGTGTCCAAAGGATCCAGACTATGCTTATGAGGAAGCAATAGGCAAATGTTCATACTGATCGTATGAAAACCCTTGGGTGATCATTTCCTTAAGGAGAGCCCCCTTTCCAAAATCGGCTATTGCCATCCCTACCCCCCACCCCAACTATCTTCTAGCTACAGGGAGCAGGAGGGGGTGGCAGAATTAGGATCTTAAGAGGCGAGTCACAGAGGTTTGTATTTATTTAGATAACATTTTGTATTTTTTACTTGCAAGCCTAAGATAAAGTACTTTTTTCTAAGTGACAGATGTATGTACAGGTAATCTGTATGTACATATTTTTTTAATACTTGAAAGTTTATTACACAACTTAGTCATGTATTGAATAAATTCTTTTAAGTTGTAATAAATTACAGTGTATGAATCACAGAACTGCTTTTATGTGGATTTCCTTTTGGCATTAACAGCTATTCTATCAATCCTAGTTTTTTTATCTGTTCTAATCACTTTTACCTTTGGATAAAAGATAAGATAGAGATAAGTAAATTTTTATGTCAAAACCATTATTATAATTCCTACGTGGATTGGTTTACTTTGCTGTATCTGGCCTTGCAATTTTTTAGACTTTAAGAAGCAGAATAGCTGGCTTCATAGGCTTCTGGTTAAGGGAGATGGATCCCTGATTATCAGCCTTGGTTCTGATCTGCCAGGTGTGTGGTTTGCATGCCTAAAATTTAGACAAGATGGAGAAATGGAGAAGGAACTACAGCATGACCACACCCCATTGGGATGTACTTTCTTTCTCCTTTTGCTCCACCCCCTTCTCTGGCAAGCACCCAGACACTCTGACAATTAAAATTTGAAAACCCATGCGGCTGGCCAGCAGATGGCATAGTGGACTGGACTCCCACATGGCCGACCATAGTTCAAGTCTTGGTGCCTTGAAATTCACACCAGGGGTGTGTGTGTGTGTGTCTGTGTCTGTGTGCGCGCGTGCCCAAGACCCCAGGAGGAGAATGGAGGAGAAGGGATTGTTACTTGGCCATCCCCCCAGGGCGGTGCTTTCTCACTTTCCCTTTCACTGTGTCTGTCTTCCCCCAACACACACTTCCCCATGAGCACACATACCTTAAGGCAAAAACCTCTTAAAAAAAAAAAAAAAGCAGCAGAATACATACAAAAAAATAGATAAAAATGGGATTATTCTGGGCTGAACAGGTGAAAGGAGTCCACTTGAGAATGTTCATCTCCTTCAGAACATAGTTCTAAAACCATTGCTCTAGTTTGTTTTTCAAAGACGTGTGTATATATCCAAATACTTAATCTCTTCATAAACAAAAATTTCTAAACCATAGGCATTCTAATTCCAAAAATCTGAGGTAGAAATCAGGAATGTGTTTTTAATGAGTCCTTAGGTGATATTTATGCAAAATCAGCTTAGGATCCATAGATCATAGCTGTCACTTGTGTGTTTTTGGCCTCTAGCCTACATATGTTTGCCTCTGCTCTCACGGGGTTTGGGTGAGTGTATAGATAGATGAAAATACTAAGAAATAATGCAAATATTAATCTCCAAATAACAATTTAAGCATAACTACATCTTGAATTCAGAAATAATAGCTTTAGATAAATATATTTGTGACTCCTGCTGCAGCTTGACTGGAAAATTACATATTTTGAAATTTTGCCTCTTTATGTAAAAAACTTATTTTTACTTAATTGTGATAGTTTATGTAACATCTTAGCAGTCTTTTCATGAATTCTATAGTAGTCAACTCTGGCCGTTAATGTTTTCATTAAATAAAGTGTTTTATTAGCTATAATTATTTAAGAGTATCTAATTTATGGGAATTTCTAAACAATGTTAATTTTTCCCCCTCCTTCAGTTCATCTATATATAGCTTTAACATTCTGATACTGCCTTTTATTCTTTTCTGTAACTCCGGACCATATGAAATGAAACTTTCTCTTTTCTCTTTTTCTATGATTTCTGTAGATTACTTGGCTCCATCAATTAACTTCTTCATTGCTCTTCATACACACTGATGAATCTGTCTTCCATTGATTGAATTCCTTCAGTGACTGTAAAATTTTCTGTGGAGGTAGGCTTTTTTTATATATACACATACTTATATAAAGACTAGATAACAACATGCAGCTAATTTTTCCTTCAACACACACACCAATTTGTATGATTGTCATAAAGAAGCATTATATTCAGATTGGATTCATTGGTCAGAGAAAGAGCTAACATTAAGTCTTTACAAAATAAGTTCTGCATTTGTTTGCTTAAAAATAAAAAGTAAATTTTTATCAGTGTAAAGAATTTCTTCACATGAAATCCTTCTATTTGAGATTTTTTATGGAATTTGGGGTCAATAAAGAATTTTCTTGGGCTGGGGCCAGCAGGTGGCATGGTGGTTAAGGCTTTGGATTCTCACCTAGTCAACTCCTTCATGCCCTGGACCTGATGGCTTACTTTCTCACTTTCTCTCTTTTGCTCTCTGGTAAATTCACGTGCCCTATAGCAAAATTTAAAAACAGTAATAGAAAATTTTAAAAAATTAATTAAATCTTTGAAAAGAAAAAATAATTTTCTTGGGAGCCATTCCCAGGATTCAGAGATTAAGGGAACCAGATCTCACATGCCCGATCACATGGTTCAAATCTCAGCCCTCGTGGCTTGAAAAACACTCTAGGCATGTGCATTTTTGCCTCAAATCCCTACAGGATGGAGAAAGGGAGGAGAAGAGATTGTGGCATGACCGTACCCCGGTGGTGGGTGCTTTCTCCCTCCCTTTCTCTGGCAAGTGCATGTACCCTCTGGCAGAATAGGGGAAAAAATTTTTTTTCTTGGGAGCTGAAGTGGCATATAAGGTACTGGTACCTCTACATTAAATCTCACTCTAGACTCCCCCTTACTTCCTGTTCCCAGTACTCAGTTAAAGGGAGACCTGGAAAATGTAGTTTTCTTTAAGGGTGTCATCTGGGCTCACCTGAAAGACATGATTCTGGTACTCAGAGAGGAAAAGACAACCAGCAGCCTTTGCTCCATCAGAATTCTTGTCTTTGTTTATCCTTATACCATATAGTCTCTGAATAACACCATAAACTTTCAGAGCTCAATTACCAAGCATGGACTGATGATTCCATTTCAGGTTTTAGATACACCTATCAGCTACCATTGGACCTTTCCTTTTGGATTTCTCAGAGGCATTGTGAGCTCAATGTACTTAAAATTAAAATTTTTCTTTCATCTCTGATACCTCCAATGTGCTTTTCTTCCTGTATCTTTACCTCAGTAACTGGTACCACCCAGTTGACAGCTACCTCACCTCATGTGTTGATCCAATTATTAATCAGTTTTGTGAATATTTCTCAGGCCTCGTTCTCCTTCCTTACTGCTACTGTATACTTAGAACATAATCTCCCCCCAAAATTACAAGGGAGTTAAATAACAGCATGCATTTAAATTATATGAATTCAAGAGGAGGGAGAGGGTCAGCCGGTAATGTGATGGTTAAAGCAGCTGGATTCCACGTGGTTGACTGCAGTTTGAATCCTGGACCTGGTGGCTTGAAAAATGTGTCAGGTTGGGGCCGGCAGGTAGAGTGGTGGTTGAGGCACTGAACTCCCACATGGCTGACTGCGGTTTGAGTCCCAGACCTGGCGGCTTGCTTTCTCACTTTCCTTTCTCTGTCTCTGTCTCTTTGCCTTCTCTCTGGTCAAATTAAAATAATGATAAAGAAAATTATATAAAATAACTCTTAAAAATAAAAGAAAAAAATCAAAAGAAAAACCTGCCAGGCACATGTGCATATATATATATATATATATGCATACCTAAAATCCTTAAATGAGGGAGAGATGGAGAAGAAGGGGTTGCTTTTCTCACAGAGGGGTGTGGTTTCTCACTCCTACCCCCAACACCCCTCTCTCTTACAAGTACACATGCCCTCTGGCAAAACTGTAAAAAAAATATGAAGAAAACAACTGTTTAAATAGTTCTGACAATCCAGCCTGCATTCCATTCAGTGAATATACATTTGTCTGGGGACCAAGTATGATGTGAGAAAAGCAATAATGTTGTTCTCTGTGTCAGTCAGACTTTTTTTTTTTCCTTTAAAGACAAAATGTATTGAGCTTACTGTGTGCTCGGTGCCATTTTAAAAAATTTGCATGTACTTACTAATCTCCTAACAACAACACAAGATAGATATTATTAAATCCACTTTGGCGATAAGGAAACCGAGGCACTGAGAGACTAAGTCGTTTGCTTAAGGTTACAGAGGTATTTAGATACAAGAGCTGATGTTTGAGTGAACAGCCCCCAGAGTCTGCTTTCATCTATACTGTGCTATCATTTCTCTACCATTATAGAAATCCATTAAGTTTCTTCTCTGGAGAATGTAAAACAAAGGACTCTGGATTCCTACATATTAGGTATAGTAAAGGGTCATCTTTTTGAAAATAGGGAGATTAAACAGGAGAGTTCCAGTTAGTAGTTCTGAGTTGAGACTACCTGCAGTAAACCTACTCTCACTTGAGGATTAGAGCAGTTCTTTCTTCAGAATTTATCCTGCCCAAGGGAAGACTTACAGCTGCTACAAATAGCTGAGGGCCCTCTAAGAAAGAATTGGGTCCCTCCTGTTTGATCATCGTATAATTAAGCCTACCACTTAATAACTCATTTAGCCTTTTAGTGACTCACACTTATGTTAA